ATAAAAATAAAAAAATAATCGTTTTATTTCGATTATGTTGTTTTCATAATCTTTGCAAGCCAAAATCGTAATTACGATTAAAATACGATTAATTAAGCAGCCCTACCTGAGCCTGCTTATAAGAATAAAATACTGTATTTATCCCAGGAGTAGCTCCATTTTAGAATTACACCTTCCTCGAGCTAGCAGAAAAAACCCAAAGTTAGTGTTCTAATATTTAAAGTCAAATCTATAAACTTGATTTTATGCATAGGCTGAAAAACAGAAACCATTACCAAACAATCCGTTGGATGATTGTAAAATATGTCAAGAAGTCAGCTCCACATTTCAAGGTTACCGTCACTGGTTTTTAAAAGTTTGGGGGCGTGTCCTTCACATCCTCATTTAAAATGATACCCTTGATATGAGATGGTGTGTGTGTGTGTGTGTGTGTGTGTGTGTGTGTGTGTGTGTGTGTGTGTGTGTGTGTGTGTGTGTGTGTGTGTGTGTGTGTGTGTGTGTGTGTGTGTGTTAAATGTGTTCTGTATTTATGTAAAAGCACTTTGTAACTCTGTTTGAAAGGTGCTGTATAAATAGTTAGTGCAAAAGCTTCTGCAGATTACTTTAAATCTCAAGATTATTGTGATGTTTAGGTTTAATTACACGTTAGGCCATACATTGTATTATTAGCATGAACAATAATGGCTATCAATCAGTGCTAAACTCATGCATTCACATGCTCCTCAGAAACACAGCTGAGTTGAAAACGGCTTTCTTTCAACTTTGGTGTGTTCACGAGTTTAAATACGTAATGTGGGAACAACATGGATGTTTACAAATTAGTTTTCAAATTGTAGTTCACATGCATTTACGGAGTTGGGTGCCCTATGTTGCAATGTTAACAACAGTAAAACATAATGGCCCATGCCACATCCTTCCACCACAAGAAAAGAAAAATCAGGCTACTAGTTTTTTTATCATCCTGCAGATAACAAACAAAAATACTGAGCCTAATGAAACCCCTTTGTACTTAATACCCCACTTAATTGATCAAATGCAAATCGGTGCAGACCTGACAGTTTTATAATCGGCTCAAGCAGCTCCTAAGAGTCTTGTTTTGGTCCGTTTTCATTTGATTGAAGTTTCACCTTGGTGGGTTACTTGAGTAAAGAAGTTTAGTCAGTACTTCTACTTTTACCAGAGTATTTTTAAACACGAGTATCTGTACTTCTACTCGAGTAAAGGACGTGTGTACTTTTGCCATCTGCCAAAAACTGACATGTCAAAGTGGTGATTGTTACTCAGTGTATTGTATAATGTCTGAACGGCTTGAGTCCCTCCTAAGAGTCGTGTTAATTATATTGAAGCTTCCCCTCGCTCTGTGTCTCTCTGCAGGGAACCCTGAACGCCCAGATGTTGGCCCAGCGTCAGCGCGAGTACCTCAGCAACCACCTCCGGCAGCGGCAGCAGCAGCAGGTGGTCCAGCAGCAGAGAGCCATGATGATGAGGACTCAGGGTGTGCCCAGTGGGGGGTCCGCTCCCACGCCGATGCCCATGGGGGGCACCAACCCTCGGCTCCCCCAGGGAAACCCTCAGCAGTTCCCCTACCCGGCGTCCAGCTACGGTACCAACCTGCCCTCTCCTCCTCTTCCTCCTCCACCTCCTCATCCGGGCTCTTCCAGCCCCTTCTCCTCCTCCCCTCTCTCCCCCAGCCATCACTTGGCTAGCCAGGGCATGATGGGAAATGTAGGCGGACAGTACAGCGGGGTTATGAGTCCTCCGTCTCAGCACAGTGCCTACCAGTTCAGCAGCTCAGGTATTTTTGTCAGCGTCATGTCGTTTCTGTTTGTTGTGGTGGCGGCAGTCCAACTTAATCATTTTTGTTTGAATCATTCGTCCTCTTATAAGTTGATTGGGTGTGGTTCAAGGTTGAATGATCAAACTCCTTTTTGTTTTTGTTCCATAACATTTTCTGCTTTTACACTCACATATTTCTTTGTTTAGGGTTTTGACCCATATCCAAACCATTCACTCTGCATATCAGGATGTGTGTGAAGGAGATATATATCGTGGTGACACTTCTGAACTAAACATCCTGCCTATATTTGTGTTCATGTCTTTGGTCCATGTTTAAGAGGGTGTTTGGCACGCCCTCTTAATCAAATTGAATCACAAACAAAAAAAGTTCTTCTGGAACTTTTAGATATCTGAAGTAAGGAAGGACACGATCCATCCTGAATATTTTCTACAAACGTTTGCATGAAAAGTTCAGTTTTCAAAGAGCCTTTTGACTTAGGCAATAGCTTTTGGGGTTATTGAGATTTTAAAATGAGTTTAGGAAAGCTATTAGGTAGATTGCTGCTCTTTTAATTGTAATATCAACTTCATTTAAGCAAAGATTCGAAACATGTTGAAATGCCAGCACTGAATTTTCTGGCTTATACAGTATTTCCATTCGTCTTGTCTGTGTGTAGTTTTGTGTGCCTGTCAATACAATACAATACAAAGGGGCTTTATTGGCATGACCACATTTTAAACATAGTATTTCCGCACAAGGCCTTATTTCCTTCGATATGTCAAACTCCTTTCTAACGATATAAGAGGAGAATAGGAATAAAGTACCTTACTGACTACAGATAAGAGTCACAAGGTAGGTAATGTCTCTCAAGCGTCTGATTATCTTACTTTCATTTTCTGACCCTTTTATAATAATAATAATAATAACTCATTCTATTTACCGTAGAGGCGCCTTTCAAAGCACCCAAGGACACCTTACAATTCATAAAATGTTCTAAGGAGAGGTTAAAGACAGCACCAAAGGACCGTAACAGAGGACACGTAGCACTTCAGTGAGTAGGCTGATCTGAACAGGTGGGTTTTGAGGAGGGACTTGAATGTGTTTTTATTTTCTCCGATCTGCAGGAATGAGTCAGCAGCAGCGTCAGGATCCAGTGTCAGGGTTCCCATGTGGAGCTACGACCCCTCAGAGCCCCCTGCTGTCCCCCAGGATGCAGCAGGGGCAAAGTCCCATGATGCAACAGCAAAACCAGGGCCAGCCACAGAACCAGGGTCCGACCCAGAGACTCCCCGGGTACCAGCCCAGCAGCGCGTGGACCCAGTCGGCCAACGTCTCCACCAGCAACAGGTAACAACAGTTCATTTGAGTTTTTTATTATTTTATTATTTTATTTGTATATGCACGCTTCTTAGTTAACATTAAGCTGTCTTTGGCTATTTTCTGGTGTAACACATTTCCCCTCTGTGGGACGAATAGGGATTCTGATTACAGGTGGGGTAGGTAATTCACTTCAGAAACACTTTTTGTTATATTCCATGGAATGCTCTTAACATCCCGATAGCAATGAATATATTATATAATACATAAAAATATCTCTGTGGAAGCCGTAGCGCTGTGAAAAGCACGACCAATCATCTGAGCCGGCCCGGCTAAAGTAACTGGATGGCCTACCTGCCTGTCAGCCTTCCATCTGTGCACAAACTTATCTCGTGCCCTCATTGGTCATGTGAGTGTGTGTTGGAGGCGGGGCTCTGTGAGGAAGTGACAGATTTTTTCCGGTTGTGTATTTTCAAATTCTAGCCACTCGAGCTGCTTTCTCCAAAATTACCTACTCCACCTTTAACTTCTATATCATTATTATTTCACTGATAGTATTGTAGATTAGATTCCAGTGGTGGTTCTGTACGATGTTTTCCAACTTGTGTAATCTAAACCTGTCGAATAATAGCATAAAGCTTTCCAAGCAATATTTATTGATCAAAAGATGGATGTTATCATTTCCAAAATTCCAATGTTCTGCTTAAATCCACATTTGATGCCGTTTAGCCTTTCAAAAACAAAATGTCTACTGCTTTGTGAAAACACAGTTTGTGTTTTTATGAATTTTTACTTTGTAAAGTATCTTTGAGCTTCAATAAAAGCGCTCTATGAGTAAAATGTATTATTATTACATGTATCAACTGGTTGTCCCAGCAGCATAAATGACATACTCTACACAATAACAAAACTTTTCATGGATATTCTACATATTTGACTGTTTCCCTCCTTGCAGTGTGTACCCGCAGCAGTCCCAGTCGCAGTACTCCACACAACCCACTGCAGGAATGTATAATAACCCCAACACCATGAACCTGGGAGTGATGGCAGGCAGCAGCGGGGGAAACATGAACCAGATGTCAGGACAGATGAGCTCCATGAACACAGAGCAGGTGTGGGAAAGCTTTTTATTGTAGCGGCCAAACGTATATAGAAATGAAGCAGATAATTAAGTTACAATAACACTAGCTAGCGGAACTTACGCAAGGCAATGATCCAAGTCCAGACAAGAATGTCAATGTCAAATATGATCCAATAGCATTAACAATGAACAGGTTATATGTTTTGTTCCTTAAGCCTTTCCTATGGCTTTCCTTTCTTGTGGCTGGAAACACCCTGGTAACAAACCATGTGCCTCCAAGTGCTCTGTTCACACCACCACCTGTCTCCAATATATATATACAATTATATATAGCTCCAGCACCTATTAAGCAATTGTTCTTGTTTTCGGTCTGACAAAAGAAGACTATTGATCATGTCCGAATGATTCCTTTCTCAGTAAACAGGAGCTATAATATCCTGTTAGCAAGCGTGTTCATCTTTGTTGTCATCGTCCTGCTACAGGTGGAGGACGGCAGTCTGATCCTGGAGCAGCTGGCCGGGATTGAGATGTTGACGCAAGAGAGTGAAGCCAGTTCTGTAAGTTAAAGATTTGCACACTTATTGTCTCATTGAGTTTGAAGTCTGTAAATAAATATGCTGTTAACATATTATGAGTTCAGGTTGAGGACAAATGTCCAATCCACATAATGATCACGTAACATTTAGCAAAAATGCCTTTTCATTAGATGTATACTCTCGTTACAAAGTTAGCTTTACATGTAAACTTAAGGACAATCACACAACAGTTGAGTCAATATAAAAGGACAGAATGAGAATTATTACACACCCAAAAGCCATCATAATGCAGTAGAAAATCACACTTCCATCAGAAAATAATGAACTTATTCGACTGTTGCTCACTACAAAGTCTTCTCCAACCACTGAATGCACATATTTTCTTCACAATCGTTTTCATTGATAATTAATGTGATTCTCTGTCTTTTTATAGAATTTCTGCTGACCCCGGCTGTGTTTAAGACAAGGTAACACAGGAGCAAATGCAAAAACGTAACTCTGCTCATGAAGAATTAACGAGAAGTTGAGGAAACATGATGTAAACAAGATGCTCCCTCTGTCACACCAGCCAAATCTGAGGCAAAACAGGAACATGACAATACTGTATATGAGAGCGTACACATGTGTGAGAAACTGGAACAACAGTTTGAGAAGAGATTGGTTGACGAGCATAAGTGAAACCTCTGGATTTGATCTTTCTATGGTTCTATTTGAGAGCCTGACTGAAAAAACATTGAATAACAAGGTTTATGAAGAAATATTTTACAGGTATTTATAGTTTTGAAGAAGTTTTAGAGATTATTTGTATTTCATTAAAAAAAAATCAAGGATATGTTTCTTTAAGAAAATCTCAGAATGGTACATTATAATGTCGATTTTAAATTTTAATATATTTCAACTGCTGTAGTTACTGGGGAGCTGTATCCCTATTTAATGACTTTTTGAATGAAGGTGAATGTTTATAGATAGTGTACATACTTAGATTTTAAATACCCCTTTTCCTGTATGTGGCATTGCTTAACAGCAGTTTGGAGTTTTAGTCCAATGAACATCTGTCGGGAGCAGAAATATTTATTTGGTTGAATGAGACCTCAGTGGGTAGAGCTCAAGAAACACAAATGGGAAAATAGAAGGTCAATAATCTGGCATAAGCTAATCAGTAACCTTGCCTGGGTATTATGCTAGTCTATCATAGCTAGAAATAAGCTATCTAATGCTATTTTAATTGACCTAATTTGAATATGAAAGTTAACTAAACTCACTAGCTACCCTTAAGCTAGTTTGAGTTTAGCTTACGAGATAGCCCACTAGACCTTGTTTCAGGTAAGCTAAATAGATAGCCTTCTTAACATGGCTTCAGATAAGCTAACTAGATAGCCTTCTTAACAACGGCTTCAGATAAACTAACTAGATAGCCTTCTTAACATGGCTTCAGATAAGCTAACTAGATAGCATTCTTAACATGGCTTCAGATAAGCTAACTAGATAGCATTCTTAACATGGCTTCAGATAAGCTAACTAGATAGCCTTCTTAACATGGCTTCAGATAAGCTAACTAGATAGCCTTCTTAACATGGTTTCAGCTAAGCTAACTAGATAGCCTTCTTACCATGGTTTCAGCTAAGCTAACTAGATAGCCTTTTTGACATGGTTTCAGATAAGCTAACTAGATTGCCTACTTAACCTAGCCAACATTCCTTTGCCAATTGGTACATACATTAAAATGTCCCTACAGTAAATGAAAATTACTAATCAACTCCATCATCAGGTCAAAACAGTAATTTGTCCAAAAACCTGCATACATGGCATTTCCATTACTGTTTATCAGCAATAGCTAGCATGCTGACACACTTAACTCAATGGTGAGAGTCTTAGCATGCTAGCAATTGCCTGATATTTACATTTATAGAATAACACGAGACTTGGTAAACAAACATTAGATATCTGTAGACACGTTATATTGACTTTCAGACATACATTGTTTGTGTGCTCTCTACCTACTGAGGATTAACCAAATAAATAATTTCTTTCTCTAAAGCAGCTTTGCCTATAAAATAAATATGTGTAGCCTACTAATAAAACTCCACGCTACTGTGATTGTTTTCAAAACGACCTGCAGGAGTTCACAGGCATTTATATGAAGCTCTCTGTCTGCTGAAGGATAATTCAGACGTTTGTAGTTTGTTGTTTTGGGACTTTTTGTGGGTGAAGCTGTGATCTTTACATGACAAGACAGTTTCAATTTAAATCAATCAAATTAAAACAATTCAGAGGGATATTAAAGGCAGAATTAGTAAGATTGTGTTAAAAAAAAAAAAATAGCCTATAAATGTGTGAGGATGAAATACAGCTGTCGACAAAATCCTACTTCAAGGATGATCTGACCTCAGCCATAAACAGATTATTGGTCCTGAATCCAAATGTTATATTTAATGAAGGTGACCCATAATCTTTAACGCCCAAAGTGTATTACTCGGGACTATTTGGAAACAGGTGCTCTCTATATGTATAAGGTGCTGTCTTGTATAAGCTTTTAAATTAACAAAACGTGGATGTCAACTTCACATGGTCCAACAATCTGTTAAGCACATACTGTAACCATAGTATGGCTTGTCTTCTGGAAAGAAGAAGGTGAAAATGAAACCGTGAAATTGATTTTAAACCTTTTTTTATTTTACAATGATTTTTCCTTCATGTCCATCTTGCATATTGTACTCCAGTGTGCTAGCATATTGTAAAAATCCCAAATATGTTATCAAAAACCTCGAAGAGTAAATGTAAGCCATGGAAATGTCCTGAATGTGAAACTCTCTGCAAAGGCAATCAAGAGCGAAACCCATGTACAGTACTAATAATATTTTACTGACTGATACAGTATACATACATATATATATATATTGAAGATTTTTAGATGAATATTTTATCAATTGCAAAATACTGTATTTCCTGTAAGTACCTTAAGATGAAGCATCATGCCTTAGATCTGTGAACTGTAACTTTAAGCTTGACAGGTGAGTTCATTCTGTCACAAACTGCTGAGTGAGCGTTTCACCACTTCATACTTTAAGTGTAATAATTAGACAGCCAGGGTTTTTATATTTCTCCCCAAAAATCCTCACAAAACAACCTGTGTATCAACTCATGGAAATACAATAATAATGTGTTGGCAGTTGCTTTTTTTTTCTTGTAGTTAAACTGTATATGTGCACAATGCATCAGGTAGACTCTCCTTCACTAACACTGTTTCTTTTGTATTTCTTTTAAAGGGCATTTATATAATATTTGACTTTTGCTGATTTATGTTGGTCCCCAGTATACTGTAGTAGTATATACTTGTGATAGAATTTGAGCTACGGTGGCCGTGTAATTGACAAAGTTATTTAACCGTAATGTAGGGTACCGTTTCTGACATAAAATGCTTCAAAATATCTATATTTTACACAGAAATCTATGTAAAATCAATGCGGACAGCTGAGGAGATTTCATATAGAAACCCGTTTTTGAATTTTTCCAGTTTCTCCACATCTTTTTTTGCAAACCTCTAAAGAGAAACGTTAAAACTGCTACATTTTGCAGACGTTATAAGAAGTTTTGACCCAAATAAAGCCGGCCAAAACTTTAATTATAGCTTAAACTAATTAAATGCACCTGAAAAAAAATCTATTATATTAAATTAAAGGTTTGTAAAAACAAACAGCTAATTCTTATTTGGGCGTTTAAGTTGAATTTCAGTGAGATATTTTTAAACATTTTGTAGTTTTCTAGCTAAAAGCCTAGATGTCTTTAAGGTGACAGTAGAGTCTTTGAAATACTCTTATGGCATTACAGTAGTTGTTTAAATGGTGCTGTCTAAAAGCAATTCTGACAGGACGTTTTTATTTAATTTAATACAACTAGTCCAGTTAGGTAGATGTAAAATGAAGGACATCTCAGAAACTGTTGAAATAATCATGAAGACATTATTTTGTTTGTGATACAAGTCAAACACACCCCTTTTAGAGTATCTTTGAATCACACCTGTGAGTTATGCCACTGTATAAAAGTTGTCTTTGTGATCAGCTGAAAGTGTTTTAGGGTAACGTTTTAAATCAGTGTGATGAAGATGTTCAGATTTTCCAACACACACAGATCATTCAGAGTGTGTGTGTGTGTGTGAGGGGTTTATTATGCAAAAGTCCAGACGTTCACACCACTTTATGCAAGCTGTCGACTCTAATGTTGCTTTTGCCAATGCTGCTGTTAATTTATGATTCATGCCACTGTAAATAAATTATTTTTATTGAGCGGGACTGCCTCTGTCTTTTTGATTTCATGCACTATAGAGAGTGAATCTACTCTCAAGTTACACCAGTTTGTATATTTTATATAAGAAATAATGCACTGCAGAAGGAACACTTGCTGCCAATCACGTGAATTATAAGACCATAATCCACCTACGATATGAATTATACATAACTTATACACAGAGGTGTAAAGTAACTAGTACAATTTTGAGGTACTTGTACTTTACTTGAGTATTCCAATGTTTTGCTACTGTGTACTTCTACTCCTCTACAGTTCAGAGGTACATGGTGTACTTTTACTCCACTATGTAATACCTTTAGTTACTCTACAGATGTGGATGAATGATGTGAAATATAATCAAGTGTTAAATCAGACTTTAGTTCCACCTGGAGTAAATCCACAAGCTACCCTGCAGTATACAAAGTCATTCAAACTAGCTGCACCTTTACCAGCTTTGAGAACACTTTCATGATCAATCATTATAAAACATATCATATATATTATTCTGAAATGGACCAATCAAACAATGACTACTTTTACTGTTTCTACTTTCACTATATTTTGATGAGAATACTTTTCTACTTTTACTTGAGTAACATTTTGAATGCAGGACTTTTACTGTAACAGAGTATTCCTACACTCTGGTACTTCTACTTTACTCAAGTACAAGATCTGAGTACTTCTACTTTTACTCAAGAACAAGACCTGAGTACTTCTACTTTTACTCAAGTACAATATCTGAGTACTTCTACTTTTACTCAAGTACAAGACCTGAGTACTTCTACTTTTACTCA